GAGGAGGCGGAGGAGGGAGAAGGAGGAGAAGACGAGGAGGGAGGAGGAGGAAGGAGGAGGAGGGAGGAGGAGATGGCGGAGGAGATGGAGGAGGAGGAGGAGGAGGAGGAGGAGGAGGAGGAGGAGGAGGTAAGTCGGGGAACCCCGTTGGCGGCGGCAGCGACCTGCGACGATAGCAGAGTGAGGCGTGTAAGAGGCCCTCCGCCGTCCGCACCGTCGTGCTCTTGTGCTCCTCGGGCGCTCCCTTGGTGGGCTCCCCACCGACCGGCGGGGTGTCGGGAAACTCGGAAGAAGTTCGCCCTCGCTTCACCATCATCCTCCGTTGTCGTTGTGGATCGGTGTGCGTTCCGCTTGCGTCCACGTCTGCTCCTCGTTGCCGTGCCCATCGTCATCAGCAGACAGGCCTAACGTCCACGTCTGCTCCTCGTTGCCGTGCCCATCGTCATCAGCAGTCAGGCCTAACGTCCATGTCTGCTCCTAGTCGCCGTGCCCATCGTCATCAGCAACAAAGCCTCTGGTTGTGGAGTGGTGTGCGTCCCGCTGACGTCCACGTCTGCTCGCCATTGCCATGCCTAATGTCATCAGCAACCAGGCCTCTGGTTGTGGAGTGGTGTACGTTCTGCTACCGTCCACGTCTGCTCGCCGTTGCCGTGCAAATTGTTATCAGCAACCGGGCCTCTGGTTGTGGAGTGGTGTACGTTCCGCTGACGTCCACGTTTGCTCGCCGTTGCCGTGCCCATCGTCATCAGCAGCCAGGCCTCTGGTTGTGGAGTGGTGTACGTTCCGCGTACGTCCACGTTTGCTCGCCATTGCCATGCCTAATGTCATCAGCAACCAGGCCTCTGGTTGTGGAGTGGTGTGCGTTCCGCTTACGTCCACGTCTGCTCGCCGTTGCCGTGCCCATCGTCATCAGCAACCCGGCTTCTGGTTTTGGAGTGGTGTGCGTCCCGCTAACGTCCACGTCTGCTCGCCATTGCCGTGCCTAATGTCATCAGCAACCAGGCCTCTGGTTGTGGAGTGGTGTACGTTCTGCTACCGTCCACGTCTGCTCGCCGTTGCCGTGCAAATTGTTATCAGCAACCAGGCCTCTGGTTGTGGAGTGGTATACGTTCCGCGTACGTCCACGTTTGCTCGCCGATGCCGTGCCCATCGTCATCAGCAACCAGGCCTCTGGTTGTGGAGTGGTGTACGTTCCGCGTACGTCCACGTTTGCTCGCCGTTGCCGTGCCCAACGTCATCAGCAACCAGGCCTCTGGTTGTGGAGTGGTGTACGTTCCGCTTACGTCCACGTCTGCTCCGCTACCGTCCACGTCTGCTCGCCGTTGCCGTTCCCATCGTCAGCAGCAACCAGGCCTCTGGTTGTGGAGTGGTGTACGTTCCGCTGACGTCCACGTGTGCTCGGTGTTACCGTGCCCATTGTCATCAGCAACCAGGCCTCTGGTTGTGGAGCGGTGTACGTTCCGCTTGCGTCCATGTCTGCTCGCCGTTGCCGTGCCCACTGTCATCAGCAACCAGGCCTCTGACGTCGTGAGTGGTGTCGCAGCGTGCTTCCCCAGAGGTCCACGACGGGGACGGGAAGGTCAGGGGGGGGGGGGCGGGAGGTGGCAGCGGGGCGAAGAGGACCCCCTTCCTCTTCATCCCCCGACGTCGCGATTTGCGTCCCAGCGGGGTGAAGACCCCCTCCTCTTTTTTTATTCCCCGACGCCGCGATTTGTGTCCCAGTGTCTCTCCAGAGGTCCAGAGTCTGGACCCTCTTCTGGACCCGCTTCTCATCAAGACTTTCTGCCCACGGCCCTGGGTCTCGGCAAGGTCGCCAGGGGGGCCGAATATTTCCAAGAGCACGCACGTCGTATTCTGTCCCGCGGAGCGAGGGGGTCAGGGGACCTTCTCATTCCTGTCGCATTCTTGATCCACCTCCCTGTCCTCCTCCTGTCAGCTGCGCGCAAGAGGGCCCCCTCGCTGGAGTGGCCTGCCTGTGTGGCCCCAGTGGCTCCCCCCCCGGCAGTGGTCCACCCCCCCAGCAGTGCCCTGCGCGCTTGGACTCGGCACGCCAGGGATTTCGACATCTGTGGGAAACACACACACACAACACACACACTGTGGGAAACACACACACACACACACACACACACACACACACACACACACACACACACACACACACACACACACACACACACACACACACACACACACACACACACACACACACACACTGTGGGAAACAAACACACACTGTGGGAAAAAAACAACACACACAATCTGTTCTCAACGTGCACCCTGGAAGTCTGGACCTCTTGCCCTGGCACCAGCCGCTTTTCCTGACCCCAGGGAGACCGACAAGGGCAGAAAACCGTCCGTCGCATTTCTTCACAACGGTACTCGTGGGGAGGTAGGGCTGCCGGGCCATTTCTGGGGTCTCCAGCGGCCGCTCGGGACGATCTGGGCACCACCAGAACGCTCTCTGTGAGGCGCAGCTGCTACAGCGCATTTGTAGGCTGGTGAATCACCAGGAACAGGTGGAAACGCCCGAACAATTTGCGGCCCCCCGCAGCCGCGCACAGGGGGCTCCTCTTGCCCAGGGTCTCCCTCGCATGCAACCGACCTTGCCTCTCTTGAAGCCCCCCTTCCGCTGTCAGGGGCAACGTGAGAGGGGGATCTGCTCAGGGGGGGATGCATCGGCCCCCAATCGCCCAGTCATCGTCGGCCGATAGGGGCCCCATAGCCCCTTTCTGCCCAGGAGCGTGCGGACTCGCAATCGGGGGCATGTCGCCGATCTGTCGGCGATGTACCTCCGATTCCATCGCGCTGTTCCCCTCCCTGACGGTGTTGCGGCCAGAGCTCGGCTTTCCGGTGGCCGTTCGGGACGATCCGGGTGGCCCTGCACTGCTCCCGGCGAGGCGCAGCCGCAGGAAGGCATACCGTGGCCGGAAACCCGCTGGAAGGCTTCCCGAGGTTCGAAGACCACCGAGAACCAGCGAAAGCGCCCGGAATCTTCGAACCTCGAACCTCGAACCTCGAACAGCGATTCGGCCTTGCCGGTCCTGGCGGCCCGCGCTGCAGGGCCCAGGGCGGGGCAGGCTGCCAGGGAGTACACGTCCCTCCCCGCCGTCTGGCCTTCTCGTTGTCCCCTTCCTCGGCCTCTTCCGCCTCCGCCTTTTTCTCCTCCTCGTTCTCCTCCTCTTCCTCGGCCTCCTCCGCCGCAGCCTTCTTCTCCTCCTCGTTCTCCTCCTCGTTCTCCTCCTCCTCTTCCTACTCCTCCTCCTCTTCCTCCTCCTCCTCCTTCTCCTCCTCCTCCCCCTCCTCCCTCCTCCTGCCCCTCCTCCTGCTCGCGCGCGGGATGTCGGTTCGGCAACTTCATGTGGCGATCTCAGTGTCGGGAATGTGGTCAACGTGCCTCGCAGCGTGTGCTCAAAGCCATGCGCCCTCCTGGCTCGCTCGGCAGTGTGGCCCCCTGGCAGCACCGCCCTCCTGGAGGGGACTGGGCCCATGGCCCACCCAGCCGCGGAGGAGGCTAACGGGGTGCTGCACGTGACAACGGCAAAGACAAGAACGGCAAATCCAAGGCGGGAGGAAAGGTGGGAGCTACTGCCGCGGCAATGGACGAACTCTCCACCGCGACCAATTATCCTGGCGAAAGACCCAACCATACGCAAGTGTGAGAACCGCAAGGCAGGTGGGACGAAGCAAGGGGACTTTTCCTATGGGGCCACGAACCGTGTGAGGGGGTGCGCCAAAATGGGGCGGGGCCGCCATGCGAACCCTGCCACTGGGGCCTTCGGTGGAGCTCCCTATGGGGCCACGAGGCGTGTGAGGGGGTGCGCCAAAATGGCGCGGGGCCGCCATGCGAACCCTGCCACTGGGGCCTTCGGTGGAGCTCCCTATGGGGCCACGAACCCTGTGAGGGGTGCGCCAAAATGGCGCGGGCCGCCATGCGAACCCTGCCACTGGGGCCTTCCGTGGAGCCCTCTATGGGGCCGCGAACCGTGTGACGGGTGCGCCAAGATGAAGCGGGGCCACCATGCGAACCTTGCCATGGGGGCCTTCGGTGGAGCCCTCTATGGGGCCACGACCCATGTGAGGGGTGCGCCAAAATGGGGCGGGGCCGCCATGCGAACCCTGCCACTGAGGCCTTCGATGACTCCCTATGGGGCCACGAACCGTGTGACGGGTGCGCCAAAATGGCGCGGGGCCGCCATGCGAACCCTTCCACTGGGGCCTTCGGTGGAGCTCCCTATGGGGCCACGAACAATGTGAGGGGTGCGCCAAAACGCGGGGCCGCCATGCGAACCCTGCCACTGGGGCCTTCGGTGGAGCTCCTCATGCGGCCACGAACCGTGTGAGGGGTGCGCCAAAATGGCGCGGGGCCGCCATGCGAACCCTGCCATTGGGGCCTTCGGTGGAGCTCCCAATACGAGTCCACGAACCGTGTGAGGGGTGCGTCAAAAGGCGGGGCCGCCATGCGAACCCTGCCACTGGGGCCTTCGGTGGAGCTCCCTATGGGGCCACGAACCGTGTGAGGGGTGCGCCAAAACGCGGGGCCGCCATGCGAACCCTGCCACTGGGGCCTTCGGTGGAGCTCCCGATGGGGCCACGAGCCGTGTGAGGGGTGCGCCAAAATGGCGCGGGGCCGCCATGCGAACCCTTCCACTTGGGCCTTCGGTGGAGCTCCCTGTGGGGCCACGAAACGCTGTACTGGGTGGGTGAAACGCAGGGAGGAGGGAGGAAAAAGAGGAGGAGGAGGAGGAGGAGGAGGAGGAGGAGGAGGAGGAGGAGGAGGAGGAGGAGGAGGAGGAGGAGGAGTAGGAGGAGTAGGAGGAGGGGGAGGAGGGAAGGAAGGAAGGAAGGAAGGAAGGAAGGAGGAACGCGGGGCACCGTCTCTTCAAAACGAGACCCAACACCACAGGATGGTTGGGAAAAAGGAGCTCGCGGTCAGCCTGCTCGAAGAGTTCGCCAAGTCCACGGGCAAGGACCTCCCAGATGTGGTGCAGTTCGCCAAGGCTCAGTCTACGAAGCCTGATCCTCGAATGCTTGCAGGACCTGCTCCAGAGGAAGAGGTCCAAGGAGAAGCAGCTCGAGTCAGCCCGCGCCCGCGGGGCAGAAGCGGACAAAGCTGTTGAGGATACCATCCAGGTCGCCGCCGAGGCTCAGAAGCTCGTCAAGCAACATGAGGAGTCCATGCTGAAGATTGGCGCTGCCACCCGTGAGGCTCAAGCGCTATCTGTCATGCCTTGCACTCCCAAAGAAGAAGAAGAGCAGCCCGAGGAAACCCTGGCAAGCTTGGAGGCGCTCAACACCCTGCTGTTTCGAGCGACCCGTCACTTCGATGTCGATTTCAGCGCCCAGTTGGCCCAGGTATTGACCAACTTAGATGACGCGAAAGCCAAGGTCGAGGCGAAGGCCAAGCCCGCGTCGCCTCCTGCCGCTGGCGGTCCTGGCGTGTCTGAGCTTGCTGCCGCTCCGGACGGCAACGATGCTATTGACGTGCCCGTCGGCCTCTCCTACGACTCCGACGATGAGGAGATCCAGTTTGAATTTGCCAAAGCTGCCTTCGTCGTCGACGGTGACAAGACGGCCCACAAGCACTTGCTGGAGGCTCTTGGCACCCGAGCCAAGAAGCAGCGCTTTGGGCGACGGCCTGCTGCCAGGGTGGCCCCCCAAGCCCCTGACCGAGGAATCGTCCTCCGTCTCTCTTCCCCTGCCTCGTCGCTCTGGCCCTCTACCCGCGTCGGGACCGTCGGGGCCTGGCGCGGTGCACGGCCTTCCTTCACACGTGCGAGGTGCCGCATTTCGTGGTTTTCCTGGAACGTTTCTCGTGGGGGGAGGAGGGGTGGGGGAGGGGGGGAGGAGGGGGGGCACATGGCTGCCCTCTGTCCGCGTCGGGTCCGTCGGGGCCCGGCACGGTGCACGACCCGCTTTCACCCCTGCGCGGCGCTAGGGCCCGCCCACCTGCAGCGGGCTGCGGCGCCGATGTGTTGAACGGTGAGTTCTCCATCCTGTCTGCGAAGACGTCCCAGTGGTCCTCTGCACATGCATTTACGGAGTGGACCAGGCACGACTCCGAGGGTGCCGGCATGCCTGAGCTGCTTGCCGCGCAGTCGGGAGCACAGGGTGAAGCGCAGGGGCGCGCCGGCCTCGGCCACCAAGCGGGGGGAGGAGGAGGAGGAGGAGGAGGAGGAGGAGGAGGAGGAGGAGGAGGAGGAGGAGGAGGAGAAGGGAGAGGAGGAGGAGGAGGAGGAGGAGGAGGAGGAGGAGGAGGAGGAGGAGGAGGAGGCGCCCCGCTCGAGGGGAGACAGCGCGGTGATTGGAGAGCTTGCCGAGGCCACTGGTGACGGGCCTCCTGAGCCCAGCGGTGGAGTTGCAATGTTTTCGAGCCTTCCAGCGGTGAAGGAGTCGAGTGCTGATCGTGCTCACCTTCCAGGTCACCGCGTGGCCGCGGCGAAGGCCAACGTCGGTCCCCCGATTCCCCCTCTGCGTTGTGTCTCTCTACTTGGTGACGTCCCTTGGCCTCGCCGAAGACCGCTATTCTGGGTTCCTTGCTGCCCTTCCTGGGCTGCTTTGACGGGCCACGGATCCTGCTGGGAGATTGGAACTTGCTTCCAGATGATGTGGATACGGGGGTTGGACGTGCCCGTGGAGTCTGCTTGCGGACATGGGAGGAGAGACGCATGGAGCCAGGGAGATCGACTTCGTGGCGCGCAGCTCGGCGTTGGCCAGCTTCGTTGCGGGCGTTTGCCTGCTGAAGGCCGCGCCCATCCAGAACCACTCTGCCGTCATGGTCAAGTTCAGAGGCCTCGGAGTGAAGGCCGCGATCTGTCAGCCTGAGCAGCCGATGCGTTTCCTCATCGAGAAGCCTCCTGCTGTCAGGCCTGCCCCGCGCGAGGCCCTCCTGTGCGAGTGGCCCTGGGCCGTTGGAGCGGCGCTCCCGACTGCCCTCGGTGAGGCGCGCGTTGAATGGTTCCGCCACGCAGAGACCTCCCTGGCGGAGTCTTACGATCTCCAGACGCGATGTCAGGGTCGCCGGCGCGGCCGCGACTCTGGTTTCAAGACTGCGACCAGGCCCCCGTCCGTCTGCTGGGGTGAGTCCCAGAGGCAGCGCACTTCAGTCGAGTGTCGTGCTTGGCCCAGGTTCTATGCGGCGGCCCTTTGCCTCGCGTCGTTGGGTTCTGCAGCCGGAGACAGACGAGAGCCCTGGCCGGCGGCCCCGCGCAGGCAGCGGCGCGCGGCCGGTTCCTGCAAGCTCGAGCGGCCCTCTGATGGCCCGCTCAAGGAGTGGGCAGGAGCCCCCTCGTCGGATGTAGTTGACCTGCTCTCGTCTGGCGCCGCGGAAAGCGCCCGGCGTGCCCCCCGTTTGCCGATGGCTTTGCGCAACCATCTCGAGCTGCAGCTTCGCCGCGATCGGGATCAGGACTCGAAGGCCTGGAAGGCCTGGGCTCAGTCGGCCGCGCAGGAGAATGGTGGCAGCGCTGCCTTCAAGGGATGGAGAGCGCCGCCCTGCGCCGTGGGACCTCGGCGCCATATGTCGGGAGACCCGGGCGGAGGACGGTGGGGGGCGGGGGAGTGTTCCGTTGGGGCGCCCGAGGCCGTGGGGGTCCAGCAGGCCTTGGATCCTCTTGTGCCGCTGCCCCCTCTGTCGATGGAGCTGCTCGACCATATCCTTGGGGCCTGCCCATCGTCGGCTGGGCTTGGCTGGGGTAAGCTTCACCCTCGTCAGCTGCAGTGGCTGCCCCCAGCATGCCGCTGAGCCTTTCTCGACGTCTCAGTTGCGTGGGGGTCCCAGCCACAGGCCCTGGACCTCTTGTTTCTGCTTGTGCTTATTGTGTTTTTCGACAGCGAGCCGCAGCCCCCTGGAGGGGCGCGCCCGATTGCCCCCCTCCCTTTGCGGCGCCGTGCGCGGTCGCAGCTTCGTCGGCTTGCCTTCTGGGGCGATGCTGGGCGCGCGTGTGATCGGTTTGGGCATGCGCATGACATCTTGCAGCGCTTCGCCAGGCCGAAAGGGTTCTCGGCTTCCAGTGGGCCGCTGGGCCTCAGCAAATACTACGAATACATTCTCCATGACGAGCTCAAGAGAGAGGCAGTCCACTGGGTTCCATCTCCAGTTGCTCTAGTGCCTCTGCGCGGTGCATAGGCTTCCTCGGCGCGCTGTCTGGAAAGGGGGCGGTGTCGCCACCCGTAGAGCAAGCGGCGCCGTTGCGGCACGTTGCTCATGTGGCCCGGCACTGGCTAGGCCTCTAGTTAACATTCTCATTGCGAATCTTAACAAGCAGTTTCCGCGTCCCGATTTCAAGACTTCTCAGGTGATTTTGCGTTGCGGGCCGCGGGGGCCCATGCCCAAGTGGTTTGTCAGCTCCTTGACGCCGTGGCGGGCCTTCTCCGAGGCCTTGAGGCGAAGTGGCTGCGTGTTCATTGGGACGAGACGGGCTTCCCGCCCAGCACTCGCGAGCTCTCGGAGGCGCTGTCTGCCAGATGGAGCCTCGGGGAGGAGGGCCGCCTGGCGGGCGCCGGGCGCGCGGGCACCGACGCCATCGACGGCTCTGCGCGCGGGGTATAGGAGAGCAGAACAAGCGGCTTCAGAAAGCCCAGCGCGTCTCGGCCAAAGTGTTTCAGCTTCGAGAGGCCGGCGCGCAAGTCAGCGCAGCGATGGGAGTCTCCTTCGGCGTCGGCGGCGCGGGGGTCGGCGGCGACGGGGGTCTCGGACATCGAGATGCATGCGCTCCGTCTCGCGGCCCTTCGTGCCGAAGGTCGTCGTCCTGCAGGTGCCTCTGTGGGCCTGCGCCTCCGCGCGTCGCCGCGCGGGGCGTTTCGTGACCGGCTGATTGTTCGCGCGGTCGAGGGCGGTCGAGGTCGTGAGGCACTGGGTCCTGGCTGCCGTTTCGGCCCTCCTTGGGCGCGGGCCTCCGGAGGCTTGCTGGACCGAGGGTCGGCCCCTCCTGGCCAGGCCCCGCCCGCGGGCTCCATGCGTGGACCCAGCGCGAGCTGCGCCCCTTGCTTTCGCGCGGGCGGGCGTTGCCACGCCTGCCGCCTTCAGTTTTTTGTTGTGCCACGGATGTTACTCTGTGCTCGAATTATTGCCTGCCTTTTGTTGTGAACGTGTCAGACAGTTTCCTCCTCCTCCTCTTCCTCCTCCTAATCCTCCTATTCATTCTCCTCCTCGTCATCCTCCTCGTTCTCCTCCTCCTTTTCATCCGAATTCCTCCTCCTCCTTCTCCTCCGTCCTCTTCCTCCTCCTCCTCCTCCTCCTTCTCCTCCGTCCTCTTCCTCCTCCTCCTCCTCCTCCTCCTCCGTCTCCGTCTCCGTCTCCGTCTGCTGCTCCTCCTCCTCCTCCTCCTCCTCTCCTCCTCCTCCTCCTCCTCCTCCTCCTCCTTCCTCCTACCTCCTCCTCCTCCCCACTCCCTCCTCCTCCTCCTCCTCCTCATCCTCCTCCTCCTCCTCCTTCTCGCTCGTCCTCCTCCTCCTCCTCCTCCTCTCTCCTTCCTCCTCCTCCTCCTCCTCCTCCTCCTACCTTCCCCTCCTCCTCCTCATCCTCCTCCTCTCCTCCTCCTCCTCCTCCTCCTCCTCCTACTTCCTCCTCCTCCTCCTCTCCCCCTCTCCTCCTACTCATCCTTCGCCTCCCTCCTCCTCCTCCTCCTCCTCGCTCCTCCTCATCTTCTCCTCCTCCTTCTCCTCTCGCCCCCCCTCTTATCTCCTTCTATTTCTCCTCTCCCCTCCTCCTCCTCCTCCTTCTCCTCCTCCTCCTCCTCTGTTTCTTCCTCCTCCTCCTCCTCCTCCTCCTCCTCCTCCTCCTCCTCATCCTCTCCTCCCTCTCCTCCCCTCCTCTCCATCCTCCTCCTCAGTTCTTCTCCTCCTCCTCCTCCTCCTCCTCCTCCTCCTCCTCCTCCTGCCTCCTCCTCCTCCTCTTCACCCATCCTCCCCCTCCTCCTCCTCCTCCTCTCCGGCCTCCTCCTCCTCCTCCTCCTCGCTCCTCCTCCTCCTCTTCCTCCTCCTCCCCTCCTCCTCCTTCCTCCTCCTCCTCTCCTCCTCTCCTGCCTCGCTCTTCCTCCTCCACCTCCTCGTCCCCCTCCCGCCTCGCCCCCTCCTTTTTTTCTCCTTCCCCCCTCCCACCTCCTCTCCTCCTCTCCTCCTCCTCCTCCTCCTCCTCCTCTCCTCCTCACTCCTGCTCCTCCTCCTCTTCTCCTCCTCCTCCTCTCCTCCTCCTTCCCCCTCTTTGTCCTCCTCCTCCTCCTCCTCTTCCTTCTCCTCCTCCTCCGTCTCCTCGTCCTCCTCCTCTCCCCCGCCTCCCCGCCTCTGCATCGCGAGTCGTGGCCTGGCAGCGCGAAGGCAGCCAGGAGCGACCACCAGAGGCTTGTTTTCCTTCGGCTTGCGTCAGGGGCCGCGGCCTGCAGGTCTTAGTTTGTTCTTAGTGTGTTGGATGTGTGTCTGTATCGTATGCTTGATACAGACCGCTGCTATGCGTATAAATGTGTTTCTCTATGTATACACATGTATATATATATATATATATATATATATATATATATATCTATATAGTCTACACATATATAAACAGGTGTATACATAGAGAAACACATATAGGTAACATAGTGGGATATACACATATACACATGCGTGCGTGCCTATGTATGTGTGCGTGTTGGTCTTGTCATGCCGCCGCGGCCGCTTGTGTATCGCCGTGCGTCGGATTGCGACCGCCTCTCCTGAGGCCCCCCCCCCACCGGGCGCGCCTCCCCAGGCCGTGGTGCTGGCGGCGCAGAAGCTCGCGCGGGCCCTGCAGGAGGTGCCAGACGGCGCCCAGAGGATCCTCGGCGCCCCCAGTGTGGGGGGGGGGAAAGGAAGACCCATATCTTGGATCGGCGGCGAGGGGGGGGGGGGAGCGAGAAGGAGGAGGCCTTTACGAAGGCGGCGGGACTTTATCCAGAGGCCCCCGCGCCTTCCAAGCAGGCTGTTCTGTCTCCGGGGGGCGTCAGGGGGGGGGGGGGGGGTGGAAACGTCTCAGCAGGCCGTGGCGGCCGTGGGAGGAGAGGAGGAAGGAGAGAGGAGGAGGAGGAGGAGAGAGGAGGGAGAGGAGGAGGAGGAGGAGGAGGAGGAGGGAGGAGGGGAGGAGGAGGAGGAGGAGAGGGGGATGAAGGAGGAGGAGGAGGAGGAGGAGGAGGAGGAGGAGGAGGAGCAGAACGAGGCTTCTGAGAAGGCCTGCCACTTCTCATTTCCCCCCGTTGCTCGCCGCCGAGTGGAAGTTCTGGCTGGGTGCTCGAAGGCCTACAGGCCCAGACATCCGGCGTCTCGAGAAGCTCGAGACGGAGGCGTTTCCCAACGTTCGGCCTTTGGGGGCCCTCGCCGGGCCCCCAGACCGTGAAATGCTGACTCAGGGCGCCTCGAGACGGAGGCGTTTCTCAATGTTCGGCCTTTGGGGGCCCTCGTCGGGCCCCCAGACCGTGAAATAATTACTCAGGGCGCAGTGCCGGCCCCGGAGGAAAGGTTCAGGCCTCCGGGGGCCTCGCATCGAGGAACTCAAGACATCAGATGTCGGGGGAGGTTGGTGCCGACACAAGAGTCGGCGGCTGCCTCCACCGAGGGGAAATGATCCTGACCTCGGCGTTGGTGATCATGTTCGGGCGTCTCACATGGTCGAGGCAATTACCACCAGCACCAACATCCAGGATCAGATTCCCCTGGTGGAGCCCCCCCCCTCTGCGTTGGTCTTGGTGCCAATCTCTAGGCCTCGAACTCATGAGGCTTCAGTTCCTTCTCCTCCTCCTCCGCCTCTTCCTCCTGGCCAGAGGACGTTGGGCTTCTCCCCCCTGATTTCGGACCCGCGACAGCGAGGCGCACTTTTTCCGCCCCACGGTTCGAGCTCCTTTGATGTCGATGTCTGCCCTACTTTGCCGTCGCTGTTTCCGCCACACCGTTGCGGAAGCATCCGCCCATATTTCTCTGAGGTGGAAATTTCTCACCTATTTGTTTCGCATCTTTTGGGGTGCATCTCCGATTGTTGAGTCGGGGGATCGGCCAACGTAAGTCGGATCCGAAGTCAGAAAGAGGGGAAGGAAGACACAGATCCTTGACTTTGCTTCGTATCCGCCGTACTGTTGATTGAACTTCCGACTTTAAGTTGCGTCGGAAAGGCATCCCAAACGATGCGAAAAGTGGGAGGACATTGCCGCCTCAGAGAGGTCGGGCGGATATCTCTGCAAAGGTATGGCGAACACAGCGGCAGCAAAGAGAGGCGAACAATGACAGCAAATGAGCTTGAAACGTAGGGCGGGACTTTCCGCCTGGCTTGCGAGATCGCCCAGAATGTACGGCGGATTCGAAGTCAGGGATCTCCGACGGTAAGATTTGTTCAGCCCGAGCGTTGTTTCTTGATGTCGGCCTCTGGGGCCACTTGTCGGGCCCCGGGACTATGAGAAACGAGGCTGTACGCACTATTACCCCCGAGGAAGCGGTCCAGACTGTTGGGCAGGGGGGCTCTCACATGCCCTCGCTCCCTATAAGAGGCCTTCTGG